GCGCATCTTTCGTCATTGAATTGCAACCACATGATCTTCTCAAAGGCAAATAACAACAACAAGAAAACAGATATTACTCTTGATATATTCGTTTATATTTTAAAACTCAAAATATCTGCTTATTAATCAAAAGGTGTATCAATTAATATAAATTATCATATATCAATTTATTTGTTTTCAATTAATCAATAACAAAAACTACAATTATTTATCCGGAAAATCAATAACGAAACTCAAATTTAGAAATTTCATTAATATTGGACAAATATCGACTTTAATCGAAACTGATAGTATTGTTAAAGTACCCTTTGGCCAGTTCATTAATTATTTTTGTTTGTGATCTATGTTTTTTTGTATTGTTATTATCTGACCAATAAATTAGTATTATTATTTATTTGATAAATAACATAACAACATACATATTTTTTCACGTTTCAATTTGTATCAATTAAAATTTATTGTAATAAAACGTACCGGACTATAAGTATGCCGGACTATAAAATTAGGAATAAATAATTGTATTATATAAAAGTATTGATTTTTGTCTACTTAAACAGATGCGTCTTGCAGTTTAAATATTAACGAATATGAAGACAAAAATTGCACCGTATTATAAGACGCAGTTCACATTAGAAGAGAAAACTGATGCAAAAGAACTGAATTGTAAGAATATTTGTTTCAATCTATTCGAAAAGATGCGTCTTGTTGTTTAAATATTAACGAATGTGAATGCGTCTTGTGGTTAACGTATGGTTAACGCAAATTATAAACAAAAACTAATATAAAATAACTGCATTATAAGTAGATTTATTTCAGTCTATTTAAAAAAAATCGTCTAGTGGACAAAATATTAACATATATTTTGGTAGACAATATGCATCAGACTAAAAGAAAAACATAGTAAAAAAAACTAAATTGTAAGTAGATTAATTAGTCCATTTAAAAAGATGCATCTTTTGGATAAAATATTGACGTTCTTCATAGAGATGAGTCTTGTGGCCTAAATATCAGCGTATATTTGGAAGTATAAATAATATAAAAAAACTGAAATCAAAGGTGCGTCTTATGGTCAGAAATGCGGTAAATTTTAGCACAGGTTAATTTAAATTTATTTACTAGTCTCATTATTCTTAGTTAAACTTCTTTTCTCACGATGCTAAAACAATTTTCAATTCTCAAATGATTATGTAAATCTCGGAATATTGTATACAAAAAATATCGAACTTTGAATGATGGATCGCTACGCAGAAGGCGAAGGAGAACTATACACAACAATGGTTATGACCGAATCGAGTCTGGTTCGTTTTCACTGGATCTGCGACAACTTTCGAACGAATCTGTGTTCCTCCTCCTCCTCCTTCTCTCTCTCTCTCTCATTCTTTGTACGTTACTTTTTTTTCGGAAGGTCCATAAATTACGATGGACGTATATTTCAAATAAAAGAAACTTAAATGGCGCTCTTAAGACAATAAATTAATTTAACGCACAACAAAGCCGCACCGTCGGTCAAGGTTCCATTTTCACCCATTTTTATAAAAGCCAACAGAATTTTCGGTGGCCCCCTCGGATCCGCAAACGGCGAGAACAATCGAAACGATAAATAACTAGAGATACTTCACACAAACGCGTTCAATGGGAATGATTATGATTACGTTTATTTTCTTGCGCCCTCGATAAATCACGAATGATTAATGGGCATTGTTCGGCGCGATTATGTAACGTTTCAATTATCGTTCTTTCGTTCCTCCTCTCCTTATGTGTTCTTTTTTTTTCAATCCTGTTCATATTTGTTTGTTTCTGCGGTTTGTTGCTGCTTTAATTCTTTCCATTTTTCGCTTTGATGATGAGAAAGAACCGTTTTTTTCGTTGTCTGTACAAAAAGAAAAGTGAAATCATATGTTCTTTACTCATGTTCCTTTTTTTTTAAATACCTTATCTAATCTACTTTTACAGCTCGAAATTGAAATTGGAAAACGGCTTCCTCACAATGTAATAATTCTGTCTACTTTTCTTCTCGTTTTTACACACTTTTATTACTCTTTTTCTCTGTCTGTCTCTCTCGTAGTTATGGCGTGTTTATATTATATTGGCGCGGTCAATGTTTGTGAAAGAAATTTTCGTCTCTGCAAAATAATGCCCCAGGCTTCGGACCCGGCGGCGGCGGCGATTATTTAAGCAAAAATTTCACGTAAAACACTTCCTATGACGCATGCAAAGTGATGCAAAAACTGTTTTCGAAAAAATGGCCGAAGCAAATAAATAATACGTGCACCAGTTTTACCTTCTTACAAATCCATCGCAATTCTTTAAAAAATCCTCAAATTTGTTCAAAAAAAATATTTTTTTATTTGAGAATTGCAGTTTATTAATATTTCATCAAACAAAACGATCAAAATAAAAAAAAAAGTACATTTTTTACTTATTTTATTTAACAGAGTCAAATAGTGATGCAATATTGTTTCTATTGCGGCGAGACTAAAACATTTACTTTTTTCTAATTCCGTACACTCGTATGATTCACACTGTCTATGTCACACGGACATTTCTTTCTATCACTATAAAGTATCGCACGTGGTAACAAACAAATAAATAAATATTTTAACTTTTTTCCTTTACATAACATATTTATTTACTAGTAAAATAATGTTTATTACTTAATTTAATTAATATATTTAATCAAAATCTATTTCGACTTTTTTATGTATCATTTATAGTGAAAATAACTGTGATACCAAATGGATTTATAACGGATACTTATTTATTATATATAAAATAAAATACAATAAATTATTTTATAGTTATGTATGTATTTAGTTTAGTTTAATACTAAAAGTATTCAAAATATCAAATTAACTTATAATATATTTTAAATAATACAAAATTTAATAAACTACTAATTAATAATATCTATAAACTGTTTTCCATTTTAAATAATTTGTAGTCTAAATAACAGTAAATCTATGAATTTATAATACATACACGTATATTATGTAACAACAAAAAAAATATGTATATTATGACTTAATTTTATTAGTTATAACTAACTTTATTTTTACGTAGAGAAGAAATGTACTTAGAATTGGTGCTAGCTTTTTATTTTTTTTTCTTCTATTCAAAAAATCTCATAAATTTATGTTGCGTGTTATTAATTTTTAATATCTAAATAAAATTGAGAAATTTTATTCTTTTTCTTAATTAATTTAGACGCCAAATGGATTTTTAATGGAAGCACGTTTGTTTGATAGAAACAACAAATAAATCATAAATTAATGTCTTTAATATTCAGAACAATACTTTCATTTTCATTGAAATTTAATTGATTCATTACAATTTAATTGTAGTTTATTTCAATTTATTGGTTAATTATTATTTATAGTCTTTTACAAATGTGTTACAAAATGGATTTTAATATAAATAGAAAATAAAACATAAATCATTGGATTTAATATAAAATGATGAGAATTAATTTAATTCAATTGTAATGACAATTTTTAAGTTTATATAGAAATTTCAGTAAATTTTTTATGTTATTGTTTAATTGCATTAAAATAGTAGTGCAATCTATTTCTGTATTTTTATAAGACTTAATTTAACTAAAATTTAAGGGTAATCTATTTCAGTTGCCTTTTTTTCAGTAATTTATACGTCATTTATAGTCAAAAATATAGAAATGAATTGTAATGAAAATTTTTAGGTTTAAATGGAAATTTCAGTCATTTTTTCATGTTATTGTTTAATTGCATTAAAATTGTAGTGCGATCTATTTCTGTATTTTTATATAAGACTTAATTTATGTAAAATTTAAGTGTAATCTATTTCAGTAGACTTTTTTCAGTAATTTATAGTCATTTCAGTAAAAAAATATCGAATTTAATTGTAATGATAATGTTTAGGAAATTTAAGTCATTTTATATGTATTATTTAAGACTTAATTACAGTAAAATTGTAGTGCAATCTATTTCAGTTTTTCATGTCGAATTGAATATAGTTTTCAGGTATAAGCGGATGGGAATTTCGTGCGAATTTTCGGCGTGTCGTTCGGTTCTGAAGAACGAAAAAAAATCACAAGGACATTTAGCGCCCTTTCCGCCTAAAATGGCGCATTGCCGTCCATCCGATTCACGTTCACATCACGTACTTGGACTGTTTGCTATAAAATGCTTGTTCCTAATAAGTCTCTCAGCGGCCAGATATCAAATGGCCATATTTAAACCTTCCTCCTCCATCCTCACCTCACCTCTCACCATCATTTTTTCTTCTCTCCTCTCCTCATTTCTTTCTTGCTCATTACAAGAACAACAACAAAAAAAATAAAACACTTCTTTCTTATTTCTTCTTCCATTCAGGCCATCCAGAGATGAACAGACCTTTTCATTCCCGATGTGCAATTTCGCTCTGTACACATGGTACAGAGACCATCATCATATCCGCAATGCACCCAAGGCAAGATTCACATCTTCTCATCTCGCCTATTTCAACGAGGAAAAATAAATTGCAATATAAAAAAAACACGAGAAAGAAAAAAAATCATATACACTTATATATATATATAATATTAATTCGCGCCTTTCTTAAATAAATTTGACCCAGATTTAGATTCTATATTTATCAAGATAATATCAAGGTTGTAGGCAGCGCGAAAAATCCTCCGTATTTATTTATTTATCTCTTTCCGTTTTGTTTTCCTCCCTCGCTTTCTTTATCTTTTTTTTTTGTTTTTTTTTTCTGCAGGTTTTCGCACCTTTTCGCCGGCTTAATAATAAACCAGGTGCGGTATTTCGACGTTGGCATGGGTTGAACGCCAAAGGTATCAAAATTTGGTCACATGCGGTGCGCGCCGCATCGGCCAAGAATCGTGTTTATCTCCTTTTCTGGGTGGTAGTTTTGAAGGGTTTTTTTTCTTTTTCTATCCCCATTTTATTCTTTTGAAACCTTCATCCGCACGTCTCTAATTAAATCTAATTGTGTGTTTATAGTATAGTAGTTGAAAACTCACTGACCTGCTGCTTTGTTAATTATCCTAGCTCCGTCTTCGTCGAGTAAAGGACTTTTGGAGCGTCCTTGCACGGCGATCGCACTGATGCAAAGTACAAATAAAACGCACAGAACATTCATTTCCGACGAGTTCATTTCACCTGAACGGAATCGTACGATTCGCAAACCGAAAATTTATATATATATATACACACACAATATGTATATTATATATATTTATGTAAGTACATAAAACTAGTCGATAAATAAATTACGACCGTTTTATATGACTTTACTTGTTTTTGACGAACCAACAAAAAAATGTAATTAATTATATAAAACACGACGACACTGTTGTTTTATTTTTTTCACTAAAAACGTTACGGAACTATTTATAAATTACAGAACTTTTTTGTCTAACAACTTTGCGAACTCATTTTCACATCGATCCCGCATTTAATACGAGCACAATATGTGTGCGGCGCGTAAATTTTCTATATACTCGTTTATGTAATAAGGTGGCACTCTGTATGTATGTGCATACTTATACATACATTTGTCTGTGTGTGTGTGTGTCTACGTGCGTATACGTATTGAAATACACGTACAGTTTACGTGTGTATGGAGTTTGTGTGTGTGTGCTGTTATCGACGCGATGCTGTTGTAAACTGAGTACTTTGAGATCGCAGCAAGCAGCTATGTAGTGTTCCCCTACTACTTCATTATCTCGGTTGTCCTGCTTCGAACCACCCTCGCAACAGGATAACGCCTTTCCCGTCCAATCCGCACTCGAAAGGATTAGCTCACGTCCAGATTACCTGCAATCCCTACGGACTCTTTCCGCTACCGTTTTTTTTTTCGGAATTTCTACTACTGCCGCACCTCGTTTACTATATTTTGCGTCTACACTTACCTTTTTTTTTTTGCTTTAACCAAATTTCAACCAAATACTTACAGCCTTTATAAAAAAATGCAATTATTTTATTCATAAATATTTAAACAACAAAATGACAAATAAATTATTAATTAAAAAAAAAATCCATTTTTTTCTTTGATATTTGAACCAAAATTTAAATAATATAAAATATTGATTCCAAATTTTTATTGTTTATTGCAACAGTTATATTATAAGTACTTTATTAATAGACAAAATAAATAAAAAAAAGTATTATTGCATTAAATTTATATTTGTTTGCTTTCCAATATTATAGAAATAAAACACTTCAAACGAAGCAACAAAAATATATTTATTTAAAGCGTTTATTTCTATCTTTCTTATAAATTACTAACAACAGAAATGAGTCAAATTTTACAATAATTTTATATTTTTTTTAAATTTATTTTCAATATTTTATTTTACAACAGTTACATAATAATTATCTCTATTTTCTAAATTTATATTTCGTTAATAAATCAAATTTGTATATTATTATTTAAATTTTACATATTTTTTTAAATTTATAAATTTGGAAATAAATTTAAGGAAAAAGTAAATGCATTTTCATGATTATAAAATGAAATCAAATCTATGTTCGAACAGTAGACTAAATAAAAATATATAACCATATGAAATATAAAACTATTGCAACGCGCAATTAAACTTCGATTTGAATTATTTATAGTTCAAAACGTATAACAATTATTTAAAAACGTAATTTAATTTATCGAACTTTTTTTCCTTATGATCAATACAATGCAATTATTTATGACGATGACAATCATGTTTACAACAAAATATTATTATTTCACTTACAATTTTATTCTTGATATTATGGATATATGAATTTTATTTACAAATCACCTTTTTCCTTTGTTTTTTGTTTTTATTGTATATTTTTTTCAATTTCATAATAACAATTTTATTTCAGTTTGATTCTAATTACAATCACAAAAAATTACAAATATTTAACAACATGTAATTTATAAACTATTGCATCAGTCTTTAATAAATTTAATATTTTAGTATTATAGAACACATTTCTTTTAAATTAAGATAATCATGGACATTTGAAGAAAATTTTCTAATTAAATACAAATTACATATTAATTACATTTCTTTCAAAGTTTTATATTTTTTATTTACAATCATACCAAAGCAATAATAATTTCCAAGTGAAAAATGTACTAAAACACACAATTAATGTGTAATTATTATTTTATTCATAGCATAAAGTTTTTTTTTAACAATACATAATTTAATATATAATAAAACTTTTATGATTAAAAATTGTGTTTTTTTTTTGCTCAGTTTTGTAGAAACTCATGTTTATTAATAATCGTGTTTACTAATAGCTTAACAAACGTTTATTAATATTTAAAATGAAACAAAAAAATAATTACTAGTTTATTGATGAATATATTAAAAGCATAATTAAAATCCTAAAATTAATGAACGTTTCATCTGGTTTTAATTGGACGATGTAGAATTTTTTTGTGTAATAGGACAACAAAATGAAATCAAAATTAAATTATGTGTAGATTAATTAAATTTAATAAAATTGGATTTATCAACTTTTACATAATCGAACGTTCTATAGTGATTAATAAATTGCGTGCACAATAGTAGTAAAGAAAATATGTTACGTAATTAACGTGTAAACTTATAATTAATTGAAAGCAATTTTCTGCTTTTACAAATAAAATAAAAAACAATTTTATTGGAGAGAGAAACAGAAAAAGAAAAAGCGTGAGAATTTACTACGTTTACAATTTGTAACAATTTTTATAACTTTATTATTCTATTTTAATCGTTTATTTTTTACCTTTCATTTTGTAAATTACAAATTACTATTTTATATTTATTTAACATTGAACCTACCAACAATATATGTGTACTTATTCCTACCGTGAGCGGTCAAAAGACCGCGATTTTTATAACTTTGTTATTCTATTCTAATTACACTTCATATATACTTATTCCTACCGTGAGCGGTCAAATGAACCCTTAAAATAAAAAAAAATATGTATCTTAATAAAAATACTTTATTTTATTTAGAAACATTTTATGTATATTTTCAGTGCATTTTTTTACATGATTTTACATGAAATTCTAAACGAAATTTCAAATTTGGTAGGTTTAGTGTTAAGTAATACAATTATAGCAGTTTAATCATAATTGTGGCCAATGTTTATAAATGAAAATTTTAATTTAAAAAAAAATATGAAAAGTTCTTTTAATCAAATAAAAAATGAATTTTAAAATAAGATTTGAAAGGCTTTTGTGAATCGGCACTTATTGAAACCGCACTATGCGAGGTATATTGTTCTACACATAAATATAATATGCACAAAAAGAGTAAATGAAAAACAAAAAACGAAAATTTATTTACAAAAAATATTTTTTTTTTGTTCAATTAAAATTTAACTTATTTCGAATTTTTCAAATCTTACTCGAATGAAAACGCATTTATCTAAGCCAATAATATGTTAAAAATTGAATTTTATAATTGAAGATGGACAAGATTTGAAAGGCTGTTGAACTGCTTCGGGCCTAGGCGTTTGAAATATTAAAATTCTTCCCATTAGAAATTCCAATTCGCCCATTGTGCGTTCAATCAGCAATGCAAATTCCCTATGACATAAATTATTTATTAGAAACACTAACCTAGGTCGAAGGACGACAACGATCTTTTCGAAATACAAAAAAAAATTGCGAGTTCTGATTTTGTCGGTTAAAACTGGTACTGAAAAAGCATGTACAAAGGTGATTAGCGATTTAGCTAATTAGTTTCGATGAAGAAACCCAACTAGATCGTAATATTCCATTTAATCATAGCCTGGAAAAACCGCGTCGTCTGTATGTAATCCAGTCACGCTGGAAATTTATTATTTCTATATCTCTGCCAATGAATTAATTAATTGCGAATTTGATATTTGAAAGTGAGCTGATGAGTCGATCGCAGCGACACACTTTTAGATCAATTGAATGATTTATGGTTTTAAAGAAGTTTAAAGCGAGATGACCGAGAATACTAGAAATTCGATCTTTCGAGGACCACCTTTTCCTATTGGTTAAGACACTCCCTCCGAGTTTGGTGGGGATTCCGCCCCTCACCAAAAAAAGAAGAAGAAAAAAAGAATTTTAAACCCGAGATATCCTTCTGATTTAGTTGCCTTTCGGTGCTCTTCGCACGAGCATCGAAAGTCCAGAAACTATTTTACAAGAATTTAACTTAATTTTTGCATTAAAACTTCGCTTAGTTCGGGTAAACAGATCCGCAAATATCTGCCACTGTTTGAAACCGGACTAATCGAGGATTTTAAAAACGCATAAAAATAAACAACATAGCAAGTAAAGTGACTATTTAAAGAAATAAGATCGTTTATGTATAAAAATGTCTTTTGTACAAATTTTTGAAAACTGATTTTTTTTTTTAATTTTTACCGGAATATAGTCAATCCGCACTCATCGAACCACACTATGCGAGGTATTGCTATACATATAAAAATAAACCGCACAAAATGAGACCTACTTGCATAATGAAAAAATAAACAAGAATTTATGTGCAATAAAATATTTCTTTAGAATTTATTTTGATCAATCAAAATTTAATTTCTTTTCAAATTTTCAAACCGGATCATAGCAAAACCGCACTATGCGAGGTAAATACAATATGTACAATAAGAGTAAATAAAAAGAAACGAAAATTTATGTATTAAAAAAAATAAATTTTTCGATTTTATTTTGGTCAATTAAAATTTAGTTTCTTTAATAATTTTCAAACCGTACTATAATGAAACCGCATTTATCGAAACCTCACTATGTGAGGTATAGCTATACAAATAAAAAATAAACTTCGCAAAGAGACTTGACTGTATAATAAAATAATAAATCTAAAATTTATATACAAAAAAATATATCTTTACAAATTATTTTGATCAATCAAAATTTAGTTTCTTTTCAAATGTTCAAACCAGATCATAGTGAATCCGCACTATGCGAGGTATCTTACTATATACATAAATATATTATGTACAAAAAGAATAAATAGAAAGAACCGAAATTTTATGTATTAAAAAAATATTTTTTTCGAATTTATTGTTGACAATTAATATTTAGATTATTTTGAATTTTTAAAATCGTAATGTTACTGTTAAAATAATTGCAGACTCAGACGATTATTAATATTTTTTTTAACGCAAGCAGCGCAATTAAACAGAAACATGCAATTCATTCATTTCGCATTACCATCAATTTTTTATTTCATATTTCTCTCTCACTCTGTGTGAGTTTCCTAAATGGAAATCGCATGGTTTTCGCACGAATTCGTGAATTGAAAATAGGAGAAAAAAAAAATCTGACCAACCACGATCA